ATTTGATATAGCAACAAGAAAAATAAAGTACCTAGGAATATACCTAACCAATTAGGTAAAAGACCTGTTCTCAGAGAAATACACAACAATGAAGAAAGAAATTAAGGAAGATACAAATGGAAGCATGAACCATGTTCATGGATTGGGAGAATTAACATCATCAAAATGTTTGTACTACCCAAAGCAATTTATAGATTCAGTGCAATCCCTATTAAAGTACCACTGACATATTTCACAGATACAAAACAAACATTTAAAAAATGTATATGTAACGATAAATGACCCCAAATAGCTGCAGCATTTTGAGAAAAAACAAAGTAGGAGGGATCACAATACCCGATACTAAACAGTATTACAAGGCCACTGTAATTAAACTAGCCTAGTAATGGTATAAAAAGAGACACATACACCAAAGGAACAGATTAGAGAGTTCAGAAATAAACCCAACTCTCTATGGTCAATTAATATTGGACAAAAGTGGTAGAAGAATAAAATGGAATAAAAATAGCCTCTGCAACAAATGGTATTGGCAGAGCAAACAGCTACATGCAAAAAAAATGAAACTTGAACAATAGGAGCTTCCGGCCAAGATGGAGGCGTAGGTAGACACGCTGTGCCTCCTTGCACAAGCAAAAGAAGGAAAACAACGATTAAAAAACAAAGAAGAACTAGAACTGTCAGAAAATTGAACTGTATAGAAGTCCGACAACCATGGAGTTAAAGAAGACACATTCATCTAGACCAGTAGGAGGGGTGGAGACAGGCAGCCGAGTGGAGAGGACTTGAGGCAAGACAGTGGCTGGAGGACCTGGTGAGTTGGTAGCGAAACAGACTATACAACCCAGGGTCCCAGTGTGGGGAAATAAAGCCTCAAGCCACAGATTGAAAACACCTGTGGGAGTTGAGATGGCAGCAGGAGAAACTCCCAGCCTCACAGGAGAGTTCGTTGGAGAGACACACAGGGTCCTAGAATGTACACAAGCCTACCCACCAGGGAATCTGCACCAGAAGGGCCCAATTTGATTGTGGGTAGCAGGGGAACTGATTGAAAACTGGCAGAGAGCAGAGCAAGTGCCATTATTCCCTCTCAAACCCCTCCCCCACATACAGCATAACAACGTAGCCACATGGGTTGACCTGCCCCGGTGAACACCTAAGGCTCTGCCCCTTACAACATAAAAGGTGTACTGAGAAAAAGAAATGGCCCAAATGAAAGAACAGATCAAAGCTCCAGAAAGAATACAACTAAGTGATGAAGAGATACCCAAGCTCTCAGATGCATTCAAAACACTGGTAATCAGGATGCTCACAGGATTGGCTGAATTTGGTCACAAATTAGATGAAAAAATGAAGGCTATGGTCAGTGAAATAAAGGAAAATGTACAGAGAATCAACAGTGATGGAAAGGAAACTGGGACTCAAATCAAAGGTGTGGACCAGAAGGAAGAAAGAAACATTCAACTGGAACAGAATGAAGAAACAAGAATTCAAAAAAATGAGGACAGACTTAAGAACCTCCAGGACATCTTTAAATGTTCCAACATCCTAAGTACCAGAAGGAGAAGAAGAAGACCAAGAAATTGAAAACTTATTTGAACAAATAATGAAGGAGAACTTCCTCAATCTGGCAAAGGAAAAAAACTTCCAGGAAATCCAGGAAGCTCAGAGGGTCCCAAAGAAGTTAGACCCAAGGAGGCACACACCAAGGCACAACATAATTACATTACCCAAGGTTAAAAATAAGGAGAGAATCTTAGAAGCAGCAAGAGAAAAGAAGACAATTACCTACAAAGGAGTTCCCATAAGTCTGTCAGCTGATTTCTCAAGAGACCATACAGGCAAGAAGGGACTGTAAAGAAGTATTCCAAGTTATGAAAGGCAAGGACCTACATCCAAGATTACTCTATCCAGCAAAGCTTTTATTCAGGAGACAAGGGCAGATAAAGCACTTCTCAGATAAGGTCAAGTTAAAGGAGTTCATCATCACCAAGCCCTTATTATATGAAATGTTAAAGAGATTTATCTAAAAAAAGAAGATAAAAAATATGAACAGTAAAATGACAGCAAACTCAGTTATTAACAACCAAACCTAAAAGAAAAACAAAAGCAAACTAAGGAAACAACTAGAACAGGAACAGAACCACAGAAATGGAGATCACATGGAGGGTTATCAACAGAGGAGTGGGAGGGGGAGAGGGGAAAAGGTACAGAGAAGAAATAGCATCAATGGTAGGTAGAACATAGACAGGGGAGGTTAATAATAGTATAGGAAATGTAGATGCTAAAGAACTTATAAGTATGACACATGGACATGAACTAAAGGGGGGGGGAATGTAGGTAGAAGGAGGTGTGCAGGGTGGAGGGGAATAAAGGGAGGAAAATGGGAGAACTGTAATAGCACAATCAATAAAATATATTAAAAAAATGAAACTCGATCACCAACTTACAACGTACATGAAAATAAATTCAAGGTGAATAAAAGACTTAAATATTCGTCATGACACAATAAAAGTCCTAGAGGAGAATATAGGCTGAAAAATCTTAGATATCCCATGCAGCAATATTTTCACTGATATGTCCGCTACAGCAAGGGACATAAAGAATAAAAATGGGATCTTATCAAAATAAAAAGCTTCTGCACAGGTAAAGAAAACAGCATTAAAATGAAAAGAAAACCAACTATATGGGAAAACATACTTGCCAATGATACCTCGAACAAGGGTTTGATCTAAATATATAAAGAAGTCACATGACTCCACTCCAGGATGATAGACAACCCATTTAAAAATGGGCAAAAGACTTGAACAGACACTTCTCCAACGAGGCCCAGAGACACATGAAAAGATGCTCAGTATTGCTAGCTATTAGAGAGATACAAAATAAAACCACAATGGGATACCACTTCACACTGGTCAGAATGGCCATCATAAACAAAGCAACAAATAACAAGTGTTGGAAAGGATGTGGAGAAATGGGAACCCTGGTCCACTGTTTGTGGGAATGGAGACTGGTGTAGCCACTGTGGAAAACAGTATGGAATTTCCTCAGGAAATTAGAAATGGAACTGCCTTTTGACCCAGCAATTCCACTGCTGGGATTATAAGCCTAAGAACCCTGAAAGAGCAAGCCAAAAGAACTTATACACCCCAATGTTCATAACAGCACAGTTTATAACAGCCCAGTCCTGGAAGCAACCTAAGTGCCCATCAGTAAATGAGTGGATCAAAAAACAATGGTACATTTACATGATGGGATACTATGCAGGAGAAAGAAAGAAGGAGCTCCTATCCCTTGTGACAGCACAGATGGAATTGGAGAGCATTATGCTAAGCGAAATAAGCCAGGCAGTGAAAGAAAACTACCATATGATCTCACTTATAAGTGCAACCTAATGAACAAAACAAACAAGAAAGCAAAATATAACCAGAGACATTGAAATTAAGAACAAACTGACAGTAACTAGAGGGGAGGTGGGAGGGGATAATAGGGGAAAAGGAGGTGTTTTCAGGAACATCTATAAAGGACACATGGACAAAACCAAAGGGGAGAATGATCAAAGATGGTAAGTAAAGATGGCTGGGGTGGGGGGCAGTGGTAGGGGGAAAATGGAGACAACTGTATTGAACAACAATAAAACAATAGTTAAAGAAAAGGATAAATGGTAGGTACAAAGCAGACAGGGGGAGGTTAAGAATAGTATAGGAAATGGAGAAGCCAAGGAACTTACATGTATGACCCCTGGATATGAACTAAGGGAGGGTAATGCTGGTGGGAGGAGGGGTACAGGGAAGAGGGGAATAAAGGGGAGGAAAAAGTGGGACAACTGTAGTAGTGTAATCAATAAAATATACTTAAAATAAAAAGAGGAGGTAATTTTAATAATTTCTTGTATATATGAAGTATTATAGATTTAAAAATAAACGAACATTTTATTTTGATGAGTTCCCATCAGTAAATGAATGGATCAAAAAACTATGGTGCATTTACACGATGGAATACTGCACAGCAGAAAGAAAGAAGGAGCTCCTATCCTTTGCAACAGCATGGATGGAACTGGAGAGCATCATGCTAAGTGAAATAAGCTAGGTGGTAAAAGACAAATACCATATGATCCCACCTTTAAGTGGAACCTAATCAACAAAACAAACAAGCAAGCAAAATATAACCAGAGGAGAAATTAAGAACAAACTGACAGTAACCAGAGGGGGAGGGGAAGGGGAAAATGGACAGAAAATGGGGGTTTTCAGGAACAACTATAAAGGACACATGGCCAAAACGAAGTGGGGTGGGATCGGGGAGGGAGGTGGGGATGCCCAGGGTAGCAGGAGTGGTTGGGGGAAAATGCAAACAACAGTACTTGAACAACAATAAAAAAATAAATTACAAAAAAAGAAAACCATATTATGCAAAATACTAAGTTTATTTTGCAAATGCTAAGTGTGCGCACATGCAAACACTAAATGTAAGCACATGCACAAGACTATTCATTGGTATTAATTAAAGAATAAAAACAACCAAATATCTATCAGTAAAAAAATACATAAATAAAAATAAATGATTTCAATGTACTTGTTTTCAAATCATATCTTCCTCAAACTTGTAAGTCCCACAGTAGCCAATCAAGTGTCATCACTGCTACAGGTGGCTGTTTAACTGCTATCAAATATACTTTCATTTGGCCCTGGCTGGTGCGGCTCAGTGGATGAGTACTAGTCTGCAAACAGAAAGGTCACCAGTTTGATACCTAGTCAGGGCACATGTTTGGGTTGAGGGCCAGGTCCCCAGTTGGGGCCTGCGAGAGGCAAATGATTAATGTATCTCTCACACATCGATGTTTCTCTCCCTCTCTTTCTCCTGTCTCTAAAAATAAATAAAATCCTTAAAGAAAAGAAAATAAATCTTTATATTTATATGCCCGAATTCTTTCAAGTCTTGTTCACCAAAACTGCTTGATGTTTGAAGCACTGGTTTAGGATAAGTTTTAGGTTGTTACTAATTACCTGTTCCTCAGAAACCTCTAGAGGAGGGGATGCTTGTTGTTCAGACTGCTGACCATCCCGATAGTTTACATTTTGTCGCTGCCTCAAAGGAGGGAAAAGACGATTCCAATTGATCATTCCTCCCTAAAAAAAAAGATCAATATACAATGATCAGACACAGAAGGGAGAGAACCATCATAATGCTTGGGAGAACATTCTTTTGCAATGTTGTCATATCTATAGACTGAGAAATAAAATGTCATACTGATCTGTTGTTTGCAAGCAATCCAAATCCTAAAGTATTGCACCAATACTTTAAAGTATTGGATAAAGTATTCAATCAATGGGATAAAATCAATACAATGTAGTAGGAGCATAGAGAGAAAAGAAGGTAATGAGTCCCACCAAAATTATCTGTGCAATTTGGCCCACTGTGTCCCCTCTGACTCTGTCCCATCTGTTGTCTCATCTTCATGGACTCTGAGGAGTTCAGAGACTTTCTGGGTGTGACAGGAAAGAAGGCAAGGAGAGGCAGCAACCAGGAACCTGCAGCTTCTTCCAGCAGCTCTTTAAAATGCTTATCTTCCTCCTCTTTCTCCTCCTACTCCTTTTCCTTTTATTTAATTCTGAGCATGCTCAGTGGAGGGAGACTGAAGGTGGAGATAAAACCCAGGTTGAGGGACAGGATGGAGAATGTGAAGGTAAACCTTACACACAAGGACAAGGGGTTCAGAAGTAAGGATCAGAGCTGTCCTCGAGTGGCTCTATAGATAATTTAAGAGGATGGCAATGTCATTTCTTTCTTATTCTGTTATCCATGAAAAGAAAACCAGATGTGAAGAAAAATATGCACTACATGATGCTTGAAAAAACATCCACATTTTCAGCTAAATGCCAATATTTTAATCTCTCAATTTAAATCTCTATTTTTAGATTAAGAAAAATTACAGACTAAGACAACCTAAAATTTTTTCTACTACAAATGCCTAACAAGGCTAGGTAAAATAAAAAATATTTCATATGTATAGCTGAACATAAAATGCAGAAATAGAGGCGTGAAAGTGCCAGAAACAAGCTCTGAAGGTACCAGGAAGAAGAAAAATTGCAGCAGTAGGCAAGCAGGCTACCAACGACAGGGTCGTAAGAGTGAGCATATCCTGCTAACCCAGAACCTCTTGGTTACCTATTTGGGTCTGAAAGAAATAATGACTTGAACTCACTACCTAATTACAGGCACAACCCTCAAATGTAGCCTGTGATAAAGAGAGGATGAGAAAAACAAACCAAAAGGCTGATCTTCATTCAGGGAGAGAGCAGGAATCATGGTCTGTCTAACACTTGAGAGATGAGGAATTTGGGGTTCAGGTTACACTATACATGTGTTCTAAGAACCCATAAAAATTGGTTCTGGGATGAAGGTGAATATAAGTAGGAGTCAAACAGAAGCAAATATAAAATTAGTCTGGAGACATACTTTCTTACTATGCAATTAAATGCGATTTACAGATAGAACTCCACTGGGGAAAGCAGAATCCAACACCCATGAGGAAATAATCCATCACAAACAAGAGTCAGCGTGCTCAATAAAGAAGAACTTAAATTCAAAACAATTTGAAAGCTATGAAATCAGAAGTTTAAAGTGATTAAGGTACAAAAGAAAAACTTAAAAATACATTGTAAACATTGTTTTAAAAATTCAGGGAAATTATAAAGAAAGATAGTATGCAAAAATTTCCTGGAGAAATACTTGCAGAAATAAATTCAATATATTAGTGATCACAACAAATATACATGGACAAACTCACCAACTCAAAACCTGAGATTCTCAGTTTTGAACTCTTTCCTATCCTCTCCCTGATCCCTAACAGACAAACCTAAAATATAAAGACATAGACAAGTTGATGTAAAGAGATGGAAAAAGGAATATCGGAGAAGTACTAACCAAAGCAAGCTAATGTCACTATATTCATGTCAAATAAATAGACCTCAAGGTCAAAATAAGCATTTTAGTGATAAAATACACTGATGTTATTTCTCTAAAATACAACAGCATCAAAATATAGAAAACAAAAATTAATAGAATTACAGGAGAATTGGAAAAATCCAGACATATATTTAATTTTTACCATATCTTGATAAATCTAACAGACAAAAATAATAATATAGATTATAAAGTGTGTCTAAATGGATGTCTATAGCCTACACTCAATATTTAGAAAACATGTAGCTTTTCCATTATACATAAATATTTATAAAAAGTGACTGTGCACTAAGTCCTATATGAAATGTCCACAAATACCAAAACATAAATATCAAACTATATTGTCTGACCACAGTGCAAATTAAATTAGAAATCACCATCAAAATTATAACAAAAAAATAAAAATTCACACAATTGAAAATAAAAATAGAGAAAATCATGATGGAAATTAGGAAATATCTAAAAGTTAATATAATTGGGACTATTAATTATCAAAAGCTTGTAGGATGTAATTAAGTAGTTGATATAGTTTGAAAATATTATGCTTAAAGAGAGAAAATGAAGACTGAATATTAAAAAATTAAGTACATTCAATTGAAGAACTGAAGAAATTAGGGAAAGCAAAAATACAAAGAAATGAGAAAGAATGAAGTTGAATGTTGAGAGCAAATATTAATGAAGTGAAAAACAAAGACAGAATAGGAGGCATCAATAAAAATGAGTGCTTGTTTAAAAAGTCAAATGAGACTTCCAGTCAAGATGACAGTGTAGGTAAATGTAGTGCTCAAATCCTCTGACAACCACACCAAAATTAGAACTAAGCCAGAAAAGAGTCATCATTGAGAACCACCTGAAATCTAGCTGAACAGAGGCCCTACAACTAGGGATTTAAAGAAGAAACTGCACTGAGACTGATAGGAGGGGTGAAGACGATATGTCACTGTTAAAAATCAGAAGGTATTGATATCTCAGCTGTGGAAGTACACACAGAGGAGAGCAAGGGGTTCCAGTACCACACCAGGACCTCCAACCCATGGTTCCAATGCCAGTAAGATAAGTCACTATAACGTCTGGCTGTAAAAACCAGTGGGGATTATGGCTGAGTGAGACAAAGGCTTCTGGAGTGCCAGGGAGTTCCTCTTTAAAAAAAAAAACGAACATATTTATTTATTTTTAGAGAGAGGGGAAGAGAAGGAGAAAGAGAGGGAGAGAAACATCAATGTATAGTTGCCTCTCATGTGCCACCTATTGGGGACCTGGCCTGCAACCCAGGCATGTGCCCTACACTGGAAATTGAACCAGTGATCCTTTGGTTTGCCCACACTCAATCCACTGAGCTACGCCAGCCAGAGTGCAGAGAATTCCTCTTAAAGGACCTGCTGGCTTACTCGGACTTTCTCCCTCTGAGCTCCAGTGATGTGACAGCAGCTTGAAAGGCACCAAGGACATATGGGGAAAAAATTAATCATCCAATGTCAGAGTGAGATCTGGAGGGGCAGCTTTCTCCCAGACAAAAGTGCTGGCAGAGGCCATTGTTCCTCTTCTGAGAAGCTCCCCTACAAAGCCTGGAGGCAGGCACCATATCTGAGTATTTACCTGGCTCACACAGTTTGCCTCATGCTGGTGATTCCCTGAGGCCCTGGCCCACCTAACCTGTGGGCCTACCCAAGCTGTTTCCAGTGGCTCTTCCAATGACTCCTGCTGTGGACTTTCCTAAAATCTCTCAAAGTTTCACAAATTGCAACAAACAGCATCTGGCCATGGTGTGTTCCATACCTCTTGCTAAATGGCATCAGGCCTGGTACTAGTGACAGCTGGATTTGGTTCACAGCTTGGCCACTCCTGGGTACTTCAAGCTCAGTACAAGTAGGAATCATCTGCAGATTTCTCTGTAGCTTGTGCCTGTGGCCACAGACAGTGGCTAACCTTGCACCTCCTGGGAGGCCTCAGAGACAGTGCTCCCTGTGGACAGCATTACACACTGGATAACAACCCTACATCTCCACAAGCAACATACTAAAGGCGCAAGTCCTGCTCCGTAGAGTCGGCTCCTGCACAGCAGCTCTTCCACTGTAGTTCAAGCCAGTCCTCAAAGCTGATTTGCCTGGGGGTCAATCCCTCCTAGTGATGCCAAAAGCAATTAAGGTTCAACTATAACAGGACAGCTCACACAGTGGTGTACATGGAGAACCTAGGTCATGTGACAGGGGAGGCCATGAAATGGGACCCTATAGAACACCTACTACAGAAGTCCAGGACACATAGCAGCTCTACTTAATACATACTTAGGGAAGCAGCCAAAATCTGGAGACAAAGAAACAGGTCACAAATGAAAGAACAGATGAAATCTCCAGGAAAAGAACTAAATGAAATGGAGGCCAACAAACTACCAGATACAGTATTCAAAACAATGTTTATAAGTATGCTGAAGGAACCTAGTGAGAACTTCAACAACATGAAAAATGACCTAGAAACCATAAAATGGACCAGTCAAAAATGAAGAATCATTAATTGAAATAAAGAATAATTTACAGGGATTATACTGCATTAAAGAATAGTTTACAGGGAATCAACAGTAGAGTAGATGAAGCCCAAAATCAAATCAGTGATTTGGAAAATAAGTAAGCAGGAAACACTCAATCAGAGGAGCAAAAAGAAAAAGGAATACAAAAAAATGAAGATAGTGTAATGAGCCTCTGGGACAACTTCAAGGAGACAAACATTTGCATCATGGGAGTCTCAAAAGGAGAAGGGAAAGAGCAAGAAATTCAAAACCTATTTGAAAAAAATGACATAAAACTTCCCTAACCTGGTAAAGGAAATGAACATACAACTCCCAGCACAGAGAGTCCCAAACAAGATGAGCCCAAAGAGGCCCACACCAAGACACATCATAATTAAAATGCAAAAGGTTAAAGACAAAGAGACAATATTAAAAGCAGAAAGAGAAAAACAGTTAGTTACCTACAATGGAACTCCCATAAGACTATCAACTGACTTCTCAACAGAAACTTTGCAGGCCAGAGAGGAGTGGTAAGAAATATTCCATGATGAAAAGCAAGAACCTATGGAGCGGGAAGATGGCAGCATGGTAGGAGGGAGCAGATTCTACTTCCCCCTACACATGGAAGAAAAAACCTAGCCAATGTACAGAGGTACAGAG